TTCTGTGACTTGGGCTGTGCAGCTGGAGCTCTTGCCAGTGAAGACTGAGGCAAAAATTCATTCAGAACCTCAGCTTTCTCCATATCCTGGGTAGCCAGGTCCCCCGTTTCCTTCCAGAGAGGGCCCACATTTTCCTAGTTCTCCTGTTATCACTGACATGCCTATAGAGGCTTTTCTTGTCACCCTTTATGTCCTTGGCCAGATTTAACTCTATCAGGGCTTTAGCTTTCCTAACCTGATCTCTGGTTGCTCAGAGAATTGCTCTGTATTCTTCCTAGGCTACCTGTCCTTGCTTCTGCCCTCTGTAGGCCTCTTTTGTGTCCGAGTTGGTCCAGGAGCTCCTTGTTCATCCATGCAGGCCGGCCTCCTGGCAGTTTTGCCCAGCTTCTTCTTTGTTGGGATGCACAGTTCCTGAGCTTGGAGGAGGTGGTCCTTGAATATTAACCAGCTTTCTTGGGGTTCTCTTCCCTCCGGGGCTTTATCCCATGGTACTCTACCAAGCAGATCCCTGAGGAGACTGAGGTCTGCTCTCCTGAAGTCCAGGCTAGTGAGCTTGCTGAGCACCCTCCTCACCGCCCTAAGGATCTTGAACTCCACTGTTTCATGGTCACTGCAGCCAGGGCTGCCCTTGAGCTTCACATTCCTCACCAGCCCCTCCTTATTGGTGAGAACAAAATTGGTTTCATTTTAGTATTTTACGCACACACTATACATACTATAAATTACACTTATCTACATCTTACTGTGTTATAATACTATAGCGTTTTCTTCCGCGGCACTCAGCATACGCCTCTTCACTCATGTCTGTTCTGTGAGAACTGAACACTCCAAAAAACCATACTTGTCTTTCAAAACCATCTATAGCACCATTTCTAAATAAACAGCATCACAATCTGAAGATGGTATTTAAACTGCAAAAGAAAACTCTGTACATCCAGAAAGACTTCCAGTTCCACAGCATTTCTCTTAATGAAAATAAATGGAATTCTTTTCCTAAACAAGCATGCTGGCGAAATGAAGGGTCATAGAATGTGTACGTCTGTTTGCAGACGCTTTATCACCTGTCAAAACCCATGAGAAGGGAAACTCATAAGAAATCCTTGAAAGGCTCCCAGATTTGCAGTCTGGTCCTCTAACTTTTTCGAATGAAAAGAAACTCAGACTTGCAGCTTGTCTGCATATGTCCTCATTGCGCTTACCTCAGTCGCCTTGATTCATCATCCCAGTATCACTTACTGAAAAGCATGCTTTTCTTTATTCTCTCAAAATTTGTTCTGCCTACGTCATAGAGGGCTTCCCCCTTCTCCAAACTTGTTTAAATCAATCAGGCCTTCAGAACTGCATAAAACCAGCACTACCAGGATAGATTAGGAGAGTGGAAGAACAAACCAGTGCAAGATCGATTTTAGACATCCTGAAATGACAGTCTTCCAGAACTAAAGCCAAACAAACTAGAAGCAAAACGGAAACAAAACCAAACCTGCACACGGACTGAAATCCACTACTAATTCAGCTATCCTGCCACATAACTGCATGTTATCTATTTACTAATAAACTGGCTCTAAAATGATCTTAACAGATAAATGTTTGTGAAAAACTCCACATCTACAGTGGAATCTAGGTCATTGACCTAGGGTTGTTTAATCTATTGCTTGCTTACAAAATAGTGAAATAGCAATATTTGAGATTACCCCTTTTTGGCCAGCTAAACCTCTAATGTATCAAATTCCCTACTGGTAAAATAAGGGCAGTACTGCTGCGATCAGAGGACTGTTCTAAAACCTCTTGTTCAGAGGCTAACCCCGGTGCTCTGATCTTCCTGACCAGTCCATCAATTTTACGGTTCAAAATTCAGAGTTTTGAAGTGTTTGAATATTAAAATTTATAAACATTTCATGGATATGACAAGCTTTATGTCACTTCTGTTTTCACACGCCATTAAGGCTGCTACTTATATACCTTTTAAAAATTACCTAAATATTTTGTAGCTCAAAACATCCTGAACCTGACTGAAGTGCTTCTGCTGGCACTCTTATCTGCTGCCTCCAAGCTGCCCCCAAGAAGTTGGCTATTGTTTCACTTCAGTTCAAAGTTGTCATTGTAAAAGTTACAATAATAGCAATTCAGATGAAAAATTACAAAAAAAAGTATTTGCAGAGGTTGAACTCAAGTTGCAGTTGTTCTAGCAGTTAGCCATGAAATCAATCCGATAATTTACAACAGATTTCTAGACAGAATGGCTTAGATGAAAATCCCAATAAAATATACCTTTTATTGGCTGCATGATGGAAAGACCAGTGGGCGAGCTTTTACATGATGAGGGTGGAGACACTATGCTGTAGTGCACAATGGAAGGAGCCTGTTGTGGCTTTGACTTTGATGAAGGTGGCAATAATGTAGGAGGTGAGAGCTTCTGACTTGAATGGTTGCTATAAACTATGAAAGTAAAAGCAGTAAATAAGGCTACCATAAAACCAAAACACCACACACAGCTTCAGAGTATTTAATTTAGCTTTTCAGCAGGTCAAAAAGCTGCTACTTCTCTCTATTCAAACCCAGAATGCCTCACAGTTTTCTCCCTCTTCTCAGGAACTTAAGGAAATCACTACTCCATTCAGTGAAACCTGGAATGCTTTTTGATTAGAAGAGCCAAGTATACTGCTTCCAAAATGTACCTTACTCGTGTTCTGTCCAATGTAAACCCAATTCTCAAATTTTTCAGATCCATGTAGCTATTCAGGAAAGGACAAAAGTAATTCTGCTGAGAACATACAGTTCCCATGTCTGTCTCAACTCACAAGCAGATGTGATGGCATTATGATGTTTGTCACTGAATTCTAAGACAGTAACTTGAGAGCTTTCAATGATAAACAAATTCAGAGATCAAGTTAATCAGCCTCCAATGTAACTTCAAAATGGAATACAGAAGAAAATGCAATACAGTAGTTAATTCTAAATCCAACCCTTAATAGCAAATATCCAATCAGCATAATAATAGCCAGACATTTTTGAAGTCTTTCAGTAAAAACTTTATTCCCCCAACCTGCACACTGCTGTCCTTGAAGCTGCTGAGAGTTGCATGGTGATGATGTTCTAGGAAACTGTAGCTGCTCTGATCCAGGAGGCGGCAAATATCCTACAGATGAACTGCAACAGGAATAATAATAAAAAACATGACTAACAGGCATTCATGCTACACTCATTTATTTAATCATGGCTGCTGCATTTGCTGCCTATGCATACTGCAAATCACTGAGATTTTGTTAATTTTAAAATCAATAATATTCCCACCTACCCTGGAATCTACTCATTCTTCAGAATGACTGAAGTTTCGCATCTCTTCCTTGGCAAAAATTTATGCCCTGCACACCTTAAGAAGCTGCCCAGCATACATTAAGAAGCTGTACTAACTCACCTATTTTGATACGCTTTTTTGTGTCAATAGTGCTAAATAAAGACACGTGGAATAATAATAAAGAGACAATTTGTTGTCTTGCTCAGTTACCCAGAATTAGGTTTCAGTTAAACGATCACCACAGAACCCGTGATGAGGATCTCAGATCCGGTCCCTCAGCTGGAAGGGTGAGGGACACCTCACAGCACACCAACCGAGCACACATCTGCTGCAGCGTAAAGCAACAGAGCTTAGAGAGATGATGGCCTCTCCATGGCTTTACCAAACGGTGTGGGGAAAAGGAAAAATAGCTAGTCATGGAAGATGACTCAAGGAGATAAACAACCTTTCATTAGTTTGTAAAACGTAGGAAAAGGATAACTTTAAAAGTTGATTTACGCCAGGAATTTTTCAGAGCATTCAGGAGAAAAACAGACATCGGCAAATTCTGTCACACCACTGACTGATCATGCCGGCAGCGCCAGAATATCAGGTCTGTGGGCCGTAGTCAGAACGGTGCCTATAGAATCTTGTACTTCATTTCTGTACTGATAAAGTAAGTGTTCTGAGGGAATGCCAAAAAAAAAAAAAATACTTCAAATTGTGGAAAAAGTAGGTGTAATCCTGTCGGATTTACCGTTTTTACCTATGTTGTCACAAGAAGTTTGTTCCATCCTTTGTCCCACAGTTCAAATACATAATTTTTAATTAAAGATTTCCTTCTTTTAAAGCAGACAAAACTCAGCGAAAACAGGGTTTTATATCTGCATGGGATGTGTGCTCTCACACAGCTTCTCATCTGTCCACCAATTATAGCTTTCAGTAGTGACCTGCAGGCTTCGGACTGTCCAGTTCCTGCAGAACAGTATTCTGCTTTCTTTGTCAAAGTGCTGCAACATAACTATTTTGATAAAAGCAAGATGCTATCATTAGTTGCTAGTCTGCTCTGAATTCCTAACAAATGTTCCCTGTTCAAAAGGGAGGGGCATTCTAAATGATGCAAAAGATCAAACAACAAAGCTTACTTCAAAAAAAGTCTGGGATTATGTCTATCTATGACTTCACTGAACCTCAAATACAGCTACAGAAGAAAGGGATAAAATGAACCTTCAGACACAAAGAACAAGAATTCAGATTTAAGTAGATGAAGCCATGCAATGATGACACAGATACTATTTAAGTCTCTGCAGTCACAAAAGGATGAAGCAAGCTTCACACTGTTGCTGCTTCTTTAAAAGCTGCAAGCAAGGTATTTTTAAATGAGGCATGTTTGTAAGCTCAAAAAAAAACAGGGAAAGAAAAATTTGTTACAAGCATTAATCCTAATGAATTCTTTTAGGTGTCTGCTTACCTGTTCGCTCACAAACACTCAAACAGTGTTGGGAACACAGATGTTTTCACAGGGAGGTCTGTACAGGACAGACCAATTTGCTGTTACCAAGGCAGGTTAAAAAAAAGTCATTCATCGAAAGCCAAGCATAGGAAAAAGTTCCTATACTCGATTTCATAGCCAGTTTTGTGCAAGCAGGCCTCGTTAGCAACACAAAAGTAAGCTAAGTTCCTTCCAGACAGAGCTCCGAAAAACAAAGTCAGTCTTTTTCTGGGATTCAAATCTCTTTTCTCTAACCTTATTAAAGTAATACCTTTGACAAAACCAGTGAATATGGATAGTAATCCTAAATATTACTGCGGGAAGGCATTGCTACTGAACACACTGGTGTTTCATGTATAGGAAAAGGAATACAGAAAACCTAAGAGGTGGAACTGTGGTAAAGTATTGCTGAAAGTGATACGGAAACAATGTTTTCCAGTCTAACAAGCATGTCACGATTAAAGCAGTACTTGTCGTTATCGTTACTTGCATAAGAGCAAAAATAACGTAAGATAATAACGCATCTGTAAGTCTGCCTTTAAAATACATCTTAATATGTGCAGTACTACAGCAGATCCTGTCAGTTACTACAAGGCCATTAAGCCTAGCTGCTGAGAAATCAAATAACTGAGTTAAACTCACCTTAAATTATTCTGTTGACCTGATGGAATGACACTGTAGTAAACGGGCATTCCGTTGCAGGCAATCCTTGATTTGACTGACTGGGAATTATAACAGGCTGCTGATATGTCTGCTGGGGCACTGCTTGGGAACCTTGAGGCACCGAAACCTAAAATTGAGACACAGTAAGACTTTCTCCTGCAGACAATGTTTCTTTCTGCCTCTTGACCATCACCTAGTTTATATAAGAATTTTTTTAATAAACAGAAACTGAAAGATCTGCTGAAGTTGTCTAAATCCAGAAAACTAGTGATAACAGTAGTTGAAATAATAGAGCTTTATTAAAAACCCTTTTTATCTTGTTTCCCCAAAACAGAAATGTTGGTTCCAAGGGACTCCATAAATTACAAAAGGCG